CTAATTTGAGAGCTTTTCTTTTTTTTTTTCTTTTTTAAATCATGAATGAGCACTGGATAATGTCAAACCTTCTTCTGTATCTATTGAGATTATCATATAGTATTTGTCCTTTATTCTACTGATATGGTACATAATATTGATTTTCTAATGTTGAACCTGTTGACAGTATATAATTCTTTATATATATTGCTGGATTTAGTTTGCTAGTATTTTATTAAAGATTTTTAAATCATTTTCATACGGGATATTAGTCGGTTGCTTTCTTTTCTTGTGACATGTTTGTCTGGTTTTGGTATCAAGGGTAATACTGGCCTCACAGGAGTTGAGAAGTATTCCCTCCTCTTCTATTCTTTGGAAGAGTTTGTAAAGGACTGATATTAATACTGTTAAATATTTGGTAGAATTCACCAATCAGACCATTTGTTATTGGCATTTCTTTGAGGAAATCTTTTCAATTACTAATTCTTTACAGGCCTACTCAGATTTTGTAATGCTTCTTCAATTAATTTTGGTAATTTGTGTCTCCTAGGAATTTTCCCATCTCATCCAAGTTACTTAATTTCTGGCATACAGTTGTTCATAGTGTTCCCCATAAACTTTTTCATTTCTGTAAGGGCAAAGTAATGTCCCTCTTTGATTACTGGTTTTATGAATTTGAATTTTCTCTTTTGTTTTCTTGGCTATTTTTGTTGCTAGGTGCTGTCAAGTCAATCAAAACTCATAGCAACCCCATGTACAACAGAATGAAATGTTGCCTGGTCCTGTGCCATCCTCACAATACTACATATGTTTCAGCCCACTGTTGTATGATGTCCTTCTGTTGGGATTGCCCTCTTCTAATAAAGTGCACAAGGCAAAGTCTGGTCACCCTCGTTTCTCTTAGTCTTGCTAAAGGTTTGTCAATTTTGTTGATCTGTTAAAAAATTAAAATAACACTTCTGGTTTCATTGATTTTTCTCTATTATTTTCTATTCTCTATTTTTTATTTTTATTTCCTTCCTTCTGCTTTCTAAGTTTTCTTTGCTCTTCTTTTTTGTTTCTTAGGTGTAAAGATCAGTTATTGATCTGAGCGTTCTTACTTTATAGCCTATGTGTTTAGTTTCCCTCCAAACACTGCTTTTGCCACATCCCATAAACTGTGGTTTGTTGTGTTTTCCTTTTCATTAATCTCAGAGTATTTTGTGATTTCCATCGTGATTTTCTCTTTGACCCATTTGTTAATTAGGAGTATGCTGCTTAATTTCTATATTTGTCAATTTCCAAATTTCTGTTACTGGTTTCTCATTTCATTCCACAGCAGTTGAAAAATAAATTGTATGACTGCAATCCTATTAAATGATTTAAAGATTGTCTTATGGCTATTATATAGTTTATCTTAAAGAATGTTCCATGTACACTTAAGAACATATATTTGCTCTTGTTGAGTGAAGTGCTATACAGATGTAAGGTACAGTTGGTTTATAGCATTCTCAAGTCTTCCATTTCCTCGTCAATCTTCTATCTAGTTGTTCTATACATTATTGAAAGTAAGGTATTCAAGTCTCCAACTATTATTATTGTCCACTTCTCCTTTATATTCTGTCATTTCTTGCTTCATTATCCTGGGCTTCTGTTGTCAAGTGCATAAGTATTTATAGCTCTTTTATCTTCTTGACAGATTGATCTTTTTTAGCAGATGAAGTGTCCTTCGTCTTGAGTAACAATTTTTATCTTAAAGTCTATTTTGTCTGACATTAGTAAACCAACTCTCTTTTTTCTGGTTAATGTTTGCATAATATATCTTTTCCCATGCCTTTACTCTCGACCTACTAGTGTCTTTGAATCTAAAGTGAGTCTTCTGCAGACACCATCATCAATGGATCATATATATATAAAATGTTGTTGTTGTTGTTATGTGCCCTCGAGTCGGACCCGACTCATAGCGATATATTTTTTTTCTTTAATCCATTCTGTCAATCTCTGTCTTTTGACTGGAGTGTTTAATCACTTTATAATAGTTAATGTAATTACTGATAAGGCAGGATTTACATCTGCCATTTTGCTGGATGTATTCTATATATCTTACGACATTTTTATACTTCTATTCCTCCATCACTGCCCTCTTTTGTGTTAAATAGATGTTTTTCACTGCATCATTTTGATTCCCTTCTCATTTCTTTTACAATATATTTTTTCTTAATGGTTGCCCTGAGATTAAATATTTTCAATTATAATAATCTAGTTCAGATTAACACAAACTGAAATACCTTGCAAAAACTTTACTCCTATTTTGCTCCATTTCTTCACCCATCCTTTGAGTGAATCACTGATAGAATCACTGATTCTTCTGAAAGATCAACATATAAATTTACATCTTTATATACTGTATACCCATCAACACAGATTTATGATTATTGTTGTATGCAGCTGTCTTTTAAATCAGGTAGGAGAAAAAAAGGACTACAAACAAAAAATACATTTATACTGTCTTTTATTTTTACCTATGCAGCTACCTTTACTGGTATTCATTATTTCTTACGTAGATTCAAATTACTGTCTAGTGTCCTTTCATTTCAGCTTGAAGGACTTATTTCTTATAGTGTTGGTTTGGTAGTGATGAATTCACTCAGTTTTTGCTTAAACAAACAAAAAAAAAACTTGTTTATCTTGGAATATTTTAATTTCCTCTTCATTTACGAAAGATAGTTTTAATGGATGTAGAATTCTTGGCTTCTCAACTTTTCCTTGTACCACTTGCGGTCTCTCAGCTGCTCCTCTTCCTGAGGATCCCTTGTGTGTGATGACTCACTTAGCATTTGCTGCTTTCAAGATTTTCTCTTTGTCTTTCAAGTTTGACTAAGGTGTATTTAGGCACGGAGCTCTCTGAACTTAGCTAGAGTACACTGGGTTTCTTGGGTGTATAATGTTCATCAAATTTCAGACGTTTTCAGCAATTATTTCTTCAAATATTTTTCTGCCTCTTTATCTCTGCTCCTTCTGGGACTCACATTATACGTGTTAGTATACTTGATGGTGCCCTACATGTCCCTGAAACCCTATTCATTTTTCTTCATTTTCTTTTCTCTCTCTTCCACAAACTGGATAATCTCAGTGGATTTATCCTCTAACTCACTGATTCTCCTAAAGGATCAATTCTGCAGGGCTTTAGTTCCTCTAGGGGATTTTTAATTTCAATTATTGTGCTTTTCAACTCCAGAATTTCTACTTTTTACAATTTCTATCTTTTTATTGGTATTCTTTATCTGTTAAGACATTATTCTCATATTTCCCTGTGAACTCTTTATATAATGATTTGAAATATCCTATTTCACCGTCCTGTAAATGGAGATTATAATTTAGCAGTGAGGGAAAGGGCTTATCACTTCAGATGGCAACAGCTGGGCAGTTGCCACAAAACATCATTTAGAAAATTTTTAGTGCAATACTACACACACACACACACACACATATGAAAGTGAATATATGTGAGAGTAATTGTCTTTTTACAATATATGTCATATGGGTACTGTCTTCCTCCTACATGACAGAACCTCTGCTGCTACTTCACAACGCCTCTGCTGTGCAAATATCCTCCAGTGTCTGCTGATGGAAGAGTGCTTGGCTCCTGCTCAGCAACTGAAGCAAACAAGGCTCTACTAGTACAGAAGCTTAGGCAATGGCATGAAGAAAGTCCAATTTCCCAAAGTGCTAGATGTCACTGTGAGTACAATATTAACTGGGAATTTACAACAGGCCATCTAAATTACACAATATTAAATAGCATTTTATTTTATATATACTCCATCAAAGCACTTAAGGACAGGACATACTTCCACTTCAGAGATGAGGAAACTGAGATATTTCCTTCAGAGACATATCTAAGACCACTGAGCCGGTTCACAGTGGACCCAAGACTCTAAAGAAAACCCAAAACACCAACCCCACTGCTAACCAGTCAATTCCGACTCATACTGACCCCCCATTACATTTCCAAAGTTGTAAACCTTTATGGAAGCAGATTGCCGCATGTTCCTCCTGTAGACCAGCAGGTGGGTTTGAACTGCTGACCTTCTGGTTAGCTGCCAAACGCCTTAACCACTGTACCACCAGAGCTCCTTAAAGACGCTAAAGAGATCACCGATATTTCTAAGTTACTCAGTCATTCACGGAATTAACACATAAGAACCAGTGGGAATTCATCAACACCCTGACTCTCCAAGCTGCAATTGTGAGGCTTGAGGATTCAAGTTGAGGAAAAGGAGTAGTGTCTCTGTCTTCCTATCTCTTCTCCACACCTATTTCTGTAAATTCCTCTCTCACTCCCCACCTTCCCTTTACATTTTCCACTCACACACCTGAGGGCAAAACCTACTAATGTACACAGAGCCCAATGATGCCCGTCGGGTCTGCTTTTGACTTCACCCATGTCAGAAAGCAACTAAACAAACAAAAGAGCAACTAAAATCCTAAATTTGCACCCTTGCCTTTCACTCCACGTCGGGGGTCGAGAGAAAAATCCCTGCGCCAGGATGACTGTTTAACTCAGTCATGCTTTACTTGCCTTAGTGCCTAAGGCATCTGACTGGCAACCAGAGGCTGGCTGTTCAAACCCACCAGCCACTCCTCAGAAGGAAGGTTGGGCAATCTACTTCCGTAGTGATACCGCCTCGGAAACCCAAGAAGGGGTCGCTATGGGTCGGATCCAACTCGACTGCAGTGCGTTGCGTTTTATGCTTTCCTTAGCCTGTCCAGAGCGCCGCCCAAACCGCACTAACATTTCTGACGAGGTACCCTGGGGGCTCCACGACCTGAAAAGGAAACTCGTGCGCCTACCCCGGCAGCCTGTCCCACTACCGTGGAGTCCATTTCAACTCATGGCGACCCCTCCTTGGGTTTCCAGGAGGTATCACTACGGAAGTAGATTGCCCAACCTTCCTTCCGAGGAGTGGCTGGTGGCGGCGGCCTGTAGCTGACCAGATAGGAGCAGCACGCAGGCTGGGTCCCGGGGACTCCTCACTGACCCAGGCCGGGCGCTAGCAGCCGTACTGTCCTCCGCATCGCTCTCGCGGGTTAGGGTTTTCGGACTCGCTCTGGTGAGGACTTGAGACTCTTGCTGCCCGCCCCACTCGCAGACACAGGTTCAGCCTGTGCGCAGGGGGAGTCTCAGTTCTCTACCGCCGTGGCCCAAAGATCAGCGAGTTCCTTAGTCCTCGGCCACAGTTGGCGTCACTTCCGGCGACGTTGCTAAGGAACCGCGTGGTTTTGGAAATTTACGGTCAGCGGCGGTTCCTTAGCAACGTCTCCGGAAGTGACGCCAATTGTCGCCGAGGATTAAGGAACTCGCTGATGTTTGGGCCAAGGTTGTAGAGAACGGAGACTGCGCCTGCGCACAGGCTGAGGCTGGGTCTGCGAGTGGGGCGGCCAGCAAGGGTCTTAGGTCCTTACCAGAGCGAGTCCCAGAGACTTAACCCGAAAGCGGCGCGGAAGACGTAGGTTGCTAGCTCCTGGCCTGGGTCAGTGAGGAGTCCTCGGGACCCAACCTGCCTGCTGTTCCCATCCCCTTCGAGCACTGCGTCTCAAGGTGTGTGTGCGGGGCGGACGACCCCATGTCAGGGGCCCCTGCACTTCTCCTTTGGGACGGTCCAGGCAGGTATGTGAGAGAGCGAGGCCTCGGCTAGTTGTTTTCGGTCAACAGACCTCGTGTGTGAAATGTGAAAGACAGCTTTTAACTATAGAAACCCTGAGATTAATTGACATAAAATCTGTTTATAAATCTTTTGGTTTATGAGGCATGGTCAAGGCCAGATGGAACTAGGTAAGGTTAAAAAAAATGATTAAAACGTTCATAGATGTTGTTCCCGAACATTCATGTTAGGACCTTTAAGAATAAGATATTTTAAATTGCTTGGTAAGTAGATTATACCAAATTGAGAAAATGGGTTTTGGGGACCAGTCAGAACTCTTTAAGGACACAAAAATTTAGCAAAAATGAATGAGAGATTGGTTTTAAAAGATCCTCTCCACTGTATTTGATGTGCAAATTGATTCCATGAAAAACTAGTTGGATTCATTACATGCACCCACCTACTGCCCCTGGAGCTCTGGTAGCATAGTGCCTAAGGCACTTGACTGCTAACCAGGAGGCTGGCGGTTCAAACCCACCAGCCACTCCTCGAAAGGAAGATGGGCAATCTACTTCCGTAGTGATACTGCCTCAGAAACCCAAGGAGGGGTCGCTGTGAGTCAGTACGACTCGACGGCACATAATAACAACACTGCCAATGAGTCTAGTCAGACTCAGTGACTGACCCATAGGGTTTCCAAGGCTAAATCTTTACCGAAGTAGATTGAATCATCATCTTTCCGCAGACTGGTGGGTTTGGACCGCTGATCTAGTTATCAGCCAGATGCCGTAACTACTGCACGACCAGAGCTCTTTTGTTACAATTGAATCACTCAGAATGAAAGAAAATAGGTTTTTAATAACTAAAATTCTAACACAGAGTTGTGCAATTTTTCTTTAGGTGTCTGTCAATTGCCCCTGCCGTAATGATGCTGGTAAGTATAGAAGGATTAATAAAATACTTGTAAGTAGAAATTATTTTGTGTATGTGCAGTGCTTTTGTGGAAGCACAGTTTAAAGAGTGTCAAGAAATGGAAGGGTCAACATTTTTACCCTTTTTGCAGGCTAACAAGTTAGACTGCCACAGTTTCATAGATGCTGGCAAGTGGACACAGTACTTCTGGATCAGAGGAATTACTCATGTCAATAGTAGTAGCCAGAGTATCAGCAGTTTTTGTGCCAGTTCTCCAAGGTCTAGTTCCCACAGGGTAATGCAAAGAGGGCCATATGTCACTTGTATCTCTGGTTCCTACAAAATGTAGGGAATCCGAATCTTTATTATAATGAATGGTAAGCATTCCTTTCAAGACTGATCATTATGCAAATACCTTGGAAAAGTAGGTTGGAACAAAAAGCAGTCAGTCCCTTGCTTATAAGACGTGCAGAACCCATGCAGAATAGTCTCCCAAAGAAACTCTGAACTTTTAACTTAATTGGTTATGAAAAGTTTTGAATCTCATAAGATCATAAGATTTGATGTCAGTAATTTGCCATTTACATGATGATTAGGTATCTTTTTACTTTGAAGGTCTGTTCCAACTCTTACCTAAAGATCCTCACAACCAAGCTGATCTATACAATTAGTTATTTGTCCCTGTATGTGTTCCCATGTTTTTTCTGCGTTAAGAATTTAAGAAGATAAAAAATATACTCTGATCCAATATAGTTTAAACTATAATTGAGAGGTTCTGGCAAGATGGCAGACTAGGCAGAAGGATTGCACAGACCTTCTTCAACAAAGAAAAGGGAAACCAATTGACACAGACACAGAAGATAATCTTGGACTGCTGAGCCTTGAAGGGAAGGATACAGAAGTAGACTAA